ACACGATTGGTCTCGTTACGTGGTATGTCATTGGAGCTTGGTGTTGGTTCTTGTTAGTTGTTTATGCTGCTACATACACTGATGGTGGTCTCAACACTGACTTCCCCTCAGCTATGCTCTGTCGTAGAGCATCTAGATCCCGTGACCAGGATGACAAGCTAGAATATGGCATCTCCCATAGAGCATCGAATCCCGCCTATATGAGGCTGCCTGCCCATCCAGGCGGTGGCGATACACTGAAGGAGTCCACATCTAATAGTGCTGCTACTCTCAGCATGTTACCAGTAGATCAGGCTAGTGCCGATCTTACTCATACTGCAATAGATGATGATGATGACCTTCCTCTAACTAAGCCGAAGGAGAGCTGGACTGAAAGGCTCGCTGGGCATGCTCAGAAGGTTGGTTTGGTTGTGTATCTTTTCCATTGGTTGTTTGCTGATATACTTACCGGTTTGTTTGTTATCCCCTTTGAAATGCCTTTTTCTACTGCCCTACCTTTCCTGTACATAGGATGTATTCTATGCTCTTGGTGTGCATATGCTGTTATTATACAAGTACCACTCTTACGCTCCCTACTTGCAGTTTAATAACAATACCACCATTCATCATGACTACTTTCATGATCTCCCTTGCCTCCTGAGGCATCATCCACTTTCTATCCTACTTATAGTACAAGACTTCCCCACTCGTTTGGCTTCATTACCCTTTGAGAGTTGCCTCGCCGCTTACCATTAGGATAGCATTACTAGTACGATAATGAGTATGGTAACAGATATTGTCCCAGTATCCCACTCTCTACTACATGCCTTGTGTTATGCCCTTCATATACTGGATCAGGACTGTCTGGACCTGTTCAATGTCATTACTCGACTCGACTAGTAGTAGGATTTGTACACATCGCAAGCAGCAACAGCAGCAACCTATTGAGCTGATGTCCCTCGTTGGGGAGGGTATCTACGGCAAGGTTTATAAGGCCCGTTGGCATCATCATGATGATGACTATCATCATAATAATGAAGATAGTAAGGCCGATGGAGATGTAAGATGCTATCATCTTCATATTACCATCCTATATCTAGTACTTAGATAAATGATGCGAGGATTTGTGCAGTGAAAACTATCAA